TAATATATAATGTATATTATTAATATATAATAAAAATGAATATTATTAATATATAATATATAATGTATATTATATCTTATATCTTATATCTTATATCTTATATCTTATATCTTATATCTTATATCTTATATATTATATATTATATATTATATATTAATATATAATATAATATATAATGTAATATATCATATATAATGTATATTATATCTTATATATTAATATATATATAATTATATATATAATGTAATTAATATATACAATATATAATGTATAATATATAATATATAACATGTAATTATATACACTATAATAATTATTAATGATTTAAATTATTAATAAATTATTAATAAATAAACAATAATAAATTAATAATAAGAATTCCTTAATCTTAAGCTATAAATCTCCAGTTTAACCTGGTTAAAAAACTTCCAGTTTTACCTGGTTTTTTTTTTTAAAAAAAGAGTAAATAAATAAATAAATATTTATTAAAAAAATAAGCAGCAACGGGGCAAAAGCAGAAAGAAAATTTCCCTCAATTTTGGCCAAGGAAAAAGAGGATAAAAGGTAGAAAACACTAATAAAAGTTTTAGTTTCAGTGGGTGGCAACAGAGGGGGGAGGGTTCTGCAGTTTTTTAGGCAGCAGAATTTCTATTCAAATTTTGCTTTTTTCCTTTATCTTTGTTCCAGCAAAGCATCTCCAAGCACCTGCAGGACCCTGGGAGAGCACCTCAGAAATCCCTGGAACCAAATGTTCCGAGATAAGGGAGTGTTTGAACACTTCCAACAGTCGGGATTCCAAACACGTCGGGCACAAAAACCCAAACACACCCTAAAACAAAACTGCCCCCTCCTGAAAAGGGGGTTGGGAATATTCCACGTTCCTTTATTTTGTTGTTTTTCTGGATTTCTGAGAAAAGATCTGGTGAGTTAGGGGGGAAACCTCGGAGTTTTTGGGAGCCAGGAGCGTCGTCCTGGCTGGCGGAATTGCCAAGGAAGTCTTGATGATCAAGAAGATCAAAGGCTTGAATTTTTGGGGATAAAAATGGGGATGGTTTAAAGACGTTCTGAGGAGTTTTGAACCTAAAAGAGGGATAAAGCCCAGAGGGCTTTTCCAACCTAAACAATTCCATGATTCCATGAGATGCTACGGCAGCTAAATCCTGCCAGTCACTGCCACAGTGTCACAGTAGTGTCATAGTGTCTTTGGGGATGAATGCAACAGAATAGCCCTTAAATTATAATAATTTAATATATTAATAGAGCAAATTCTAGTAAATACAATAAATTACGGAATTATCAAACCCATTAAATTTCCTTACAGAATAAAGTATGGAATTAACAAACTCCTTAAATTTCTTTATAGAAGAATGTGGGATTATCAAACCCATTAAATATCTTTATAGAATAAAGTATGGAATTATCAAACTCTTTAAATTTCTTTATAGAATAAAGTATGGAATTATCAAACTCTTTAAATTTCTTTATAGAAGAATGTGAAATTATCAAACCCATTAAATATCTCTACAGAATAAATTATGGAATTATCAAACCCATTAAATTTCCTTACAGAATAAAGTATGGGTTTATCAAACCCGCTAAATTTCTTTGTAAAATAAAGTACTAAATTATCAAACCCATTAAATTTCTTTATAGAATAAAGTATGGAATTATCAAACTCCTTAAATTTCTTTATAGAAGAATGTGGGATTATCAAACCCATTAAATATCTTTACAGAATAAAGTATGGAATTATCCAACCCGTTAAATTTCCTTACAGAATAAATTATGGAATTATCAAACTCCCTGAATTTCTTTATAGAAGACTATGGGATTATCAAACCCTACTTGCTAAATCCGAAGTTTAACTCCCAGCAATGTTTGGGTGGGGTGATAAATGCAGGTGTTTATTCAGGAGTGCCAAAAAGCAGGAGAAAAATCCCTTGACTGGAAAAAAAAAAAAAAACCTAAATGAGAGAATATTTTGGTCGTTTAGACAGAGATTTTGAACTTTGAGCTGAATTTGTTGCCTCCCAATTCTCATCCTCGCAGTACCTGATGCTCATTTTCTCAAAATCCTAAATATTGGCTTGTTCCTCGGCGTGAAAAATTCCAGTGTTGGCACAGGCAGGGGGTTTTAATGTCCAAAAAGGGAAACTGTGGCTTGTTCTTTGGGGAAGGAATGATGGTGCAAGTCAGGGAATGTGAAAACATCCCAAACTTCATAAAAGAGGATTAAAACTCCAGGAGAAAAAGCCTCGAGCTTTGCAGAAAGAAAAAAAAAACAAACAAACAATTACAATGTGAGCCAGCTTGGGAGAACCAGGAAAAAAATATAGATTTAAGGGTGAAAATTGAGGAAGCCTGAAAATAATAAAACTTAACAGAATTAATGGGAATATTTTGGGAATATTTAGAAAATTGGCCACCAAGAAAGATTTTTTTTTTTTTTCCCCTCGAAAAAAACTACGAAGAAACGTAAAAAGTGCCAAAGTTGATCCTCTGTGTCTGGTGTGTTTGTGGAAAATAATTCACCCAGTTTGAGGAAGAGACAAACGGATAAACCGGGAAAGATCAGATGGGAAAGTTGCATGGAAAAATTTGGAGGAAGGAAGGTTTAGTGCAACTTGTTTGGGCTTGGGCTTTGAAGTCGATATTGGGGGAACATGGGCTGCTCAATGTTTAATGACATGTGAAGGGGCAGATGAAGATTGATGTTGGCTCCAATTAATTTGGAATGGGAAGGAAACGATGGAATCACAAGGAATCACAAGGATGAACCTCCGGATTTATCGCTCGTGGGAGGAACACGGACAACTTGGACAATTCCAGAAATGGGAAAAACTGAGTCTGGCAATGAGATGGTTGCACCCTGATAGGTGGTGAGCTCAGAGCCAGCCTGGATTTTCAGATGGCTCAGATCCCTGTTCCCAGTGCCCAGAAAAGCCGTGGGAATTCCGTGCAGGGATGTGATCCGTTGGATCCATCGGAAGCCGACGGTTTGTGGGCGATCCCTTGGCGGCACAGAAAGGTTCCCGTTGGCGGGAGCAGAAACTGTTCCCCCAGGCACGGTCAGGGAGAATTGTCCGGGAGAGATGGGATTCAAATTTGGGATTTTTAACTGTTCAAATTCCCTCGGGACTGGAGGGAAGCGGAAATCCCTGTCCCCAACCCCATGGATGGCACTGGTCGTGTTACATCTTTAGCTGCTCCTACACAAGTGAACCAAGACTAATTGAAAAGCTAAACCCAATTAATCTGGGCTGAAATGAGCTGGGAAATAATCACAGGAGCACCTAAACCATCATTTTTAAGAATTAACAAATATTCCAGCCACAATATCCAGGGGAAGGAGTGAAGTGTCTGCAAACAATTCCTGCCTCGAAGGAGTTCCAACCTCCCTGTTGCTTCATCCCACCTGATTTTCCTTCCCTGAGAAGTTTAATTCAATAGTGGGTCAATATTAATTTAATATTAGGTACAATGAATCGTATTTTAATTAGTTTTTATGATCCACACCTTCTGGAGAAGATGGGCGGCCCCAGTTTGAAGTCAGGGACATTGAGGCACATTGCTCCAGCTTATCCTAAAATTCTGTGGCAGGACCTGGCAGGGGATTCAATGCATGGAGAGGTTATTCCAGCCTTGGAATTTCATCCCTGGATCATCACAAACCTGGAAGGGGGCTCAGTGTGTGTAGAAGTTATTCCAGCCTTGGATTTCCTGCCCAGATCCTCACAGACCTGGAATGGGACTCAATGCATGGAGAGGTCATTCCGGCCTTGGGTCTCCTACCTGGATCATCACAAACCTGGAAGGAGACTCTTTTCATGTAGAGGTCTTTCCAGCTCTGGGGTTTCACACCTGGATCACCCCAGACCTGGATGGAGACTCGTTGCATGTAGAGGTTATTCCAGCCTTGAACTTCCTACATGGATCATCACAAACCTCTAAGTGGACTTATTGCATGGAGAGGTCATTCCAACTTTGGGTTTCCCACCTGGATCACCACAAATCTGGAAGGGGACTCTTTGCAGACAGAGGTTTATTCCAGCCTTGGATTTCCAACCTGGATCATCACAAACCTGGAAGGAGACTCTTTTCATGTAGAGGTTATTCCAGCCTTGGATTTCACACCTGGATCACCACAGACCTGTAAGTGGACTCAATGCACACACAGGTTATTCCAGCCTTGGGTTTCCTACCTGGATCATCCCGGATCTGGCAGGGAACTCTTTCCACACAGAGGTCATTCCAGCCTTGGATTTCACACCTGGATCCCCACAGACCTGGAAGGGGACTCAGTGTGTGGAGAAGTTATTCCAGCCTTGGATTTCCTACCCAAATCCCCACAAACCTGGAATGGGACTCAGTGCATGGAAAGGTAATCCCAGCCTTGGGTTTCCTACCTGGATCATCCCGGATCTGGCAGGGAACTCTTTACACACAGAGGTTATTCCAGCCTTGGATTTCCTACATGGATCATCACAAACCTCTAAGTCCACTTATTGCATGCAGAGGTCATTCCAACTTTGAGTTTCCTACCTGGATCATCACAAATCTGGCAGGGGACTCCTTGCATGTAGAGGTTATTCCAGCCTTGGATTTCCCACCTGGATCATCCCAGACCTGGCAGGCTCTCTACCCACAGAGGTCACCCCATCCCTGGTTTCCCACCTGGATCACCCCAGACCAGTGTGGTGGTACCTTAGGAACACCCCATCTCTGCTGTGGAACACTTGGAACATCCAGAGAGGAAAGGAAATAGCTGTGGACAAACTCCAGGCTCTGCTCTGAGAGGTGTAAATCCCTGGAAAGCCGTGTCATTCCTCAGGGCTCATTCCAAAGAGATTCAGACCAGAATTGGACCGCTCAGCCTTTATATTCCAGCACATAATTCCCATTTCAGTCCTGGCTCACAGGTGTCCCTCCCCTTCCCTGGATGTCAGGAGGAGATTAAAGGGCTGGATCCCTCTGGCATCACCTCTTCCCACATCAGGGGGATTTACAGCCTCACTCCCTGCCAGAGGAATTAAAGGCCCTGCACCTCATCAGAACCCGCTCCCGGTTTATGGCCCCAGCCCCACTAATGATCCCAAATAATCACTCCCTGAATGTTCCCAGTCACCCTGACTTACTTCCCATGAGTCATGGGGAGTCCACACCGTGGAATGCAGGGGAAGAAAAAGCCTTTTTTTTGCACCTGGCTTTAATTACCTTCGGTTTTAATTAAGTTCTGTGGGTTGAATCTCAATAACACCGGCCTGGAAAGAGTGGCTTTTGTGTGGAGGTTTGTTCTCCACACTGGCAAATATTGCTTTCCATTTATCCCATTAATTTCATTTATCCCATCCCACCATCTGCCACTTCTGAGGGGCTTCTCTGCCCAATGCTACTGGAATTCCCAGAGTCCTGGATCATGCAGAGAGGCTGGACAAGTCACCATCCTCTTATTTCCCTGGAATCAACTGCAGAGTCCTCTCTCTGTCTGACTTTTGGTTTCAAAGGGTGATAATTCCTCATGTGGATAAAAATATCAATAAAAATAAAAAATATCAATCAGAGTTAATGATCTTCTCAATAGATTTGAGGGCTGAAGGGGACAGATGGACTCAGGAGTCTCCAGGGAGATTTGTGGCTTTCTTGTACCTATAAAAAAGAAGGAGAGTGACTTTTTTCCTGGGCAGAGAGTGGGAATGGATTTAAACTAAAAGAGGAGAGATTTAGATTGGATATTAGGAGGCAATTGTTCCCTGGGAGGGTGGGCAGGCCCTGGCACAGGTTGCCCAGAGAAGCTGTGGCTGCCCCTGGATCCCTGGAAGTGTCCAAGGTCAGGTTGGAGCAACCTGGGCTGGTGGAAGGTGTCCCTGCCCATGGCAGGGGGTGGAATGGGATGATCTTGAAGGCCCTTCCAACCCAAACCCATCTGGGATTCTGGGATTCTTTGGTAATGAGTGAACTCCCTTGGGCAGGGCCATATTTTGGCCTGTTCATGAGACATTCAGAGCACCAGAACCTCGACCCACAGCAAAGACACCTCGGTGACATCAATAAAAAGACCTGGAAATTCCAACCCGATGAAGGAAACGCTTTTCCACACCCTCTGGAAGTGGAGCACGGAGAGCACTAACACAGGAATGTAACGAGATTCGAGGGCTGGACTTTTACCCAGCCAGAAAAAACAGCCCCTCCATCACTGAGGATGAACAGACTGAAAGGTTTTATTAAACTCAAGTCTGAGGCTTTATCCCTGACAGCCCCGGGAAGAGCTTTGGGAGGTCCCAGAGTTTTCCAAAGTCTCCTCTGGCAGAGCTGGCACCACTCCCAGCACCAGGGGAGCCACCAGGACCAGAACTTCTGCCCCTACACGGTTTGTTTCCAAGAGGGACAAAGAAACAGGGTAGACACATCAAACCCGGGCTCTTAGAGCTGATGAAGTGTTAAGAGTCATCTAAGTCAGGACTGAGAATTTAGAGCCTGGAATTTGCTGCTGGAATGCAAAAATCAGGTGGTTCTGCAAGCCCGGGGGACACTTTGGTTCTCAGGCATCCTTCAAACACTTGGTAGTGTTTGGTTGACAGCTGCACCTGAGGATTTTAAGGGTCTTTTGCAACCTAAATTATTCTAAAAATTCTAAAAATTCTTCCAAAGTCAGATCTACAAAGAGGCTGAATCTGTCCTAAAAATCCCTGCTTAGCTTTGCATCTTCCTGACCACCTGCCCACCCTCCCATCCATTATCCCAGGAGCTGGATTTAAGCTTCAATTCCTGCTCCTGGTCAGCTTGATTCGGGGTGGATGTCCCAAAAGTGGCTGGGGAGGACAATTAATAGTCATTGACGTGACCAAGGACCTGAAGATGTGCTCAAAAAACCCACAGTGTTCCCAAGGCACATCCCAGTTCAGGCCATCCTGGGGACTGGAATGTCTTGGGAGCAGGAGAAAATTCCATGTGGATGTGTGGGACCGGGAAAAAGGTTGGAATATCAGGGAAGAAGCAGAAAGGAGGAGCTGGAGGATGAGGCAGAATTGAACAGGTTGAGGAAACCTCACTGACCTTAAAAATAACCTCGAGGGATGGGAGGGAGAATATTAAATATAAAAGGAGCTGCTGCAATCCAGGAGGAAAAAAGCATCCCTAGAAAATCCACTGGGAAGGTTTAACAGCCCCTGCCAAGAATTTGCTGCCTGGAGGGAATTCCGGGGCACAAGGGCTGCTTTCACCTTCCCCCGGCAGCTGCCTTTGGGCTTCCCAGAAGAGGTCAGTCTTTCCCAAGGATTCGTGGGAGGGGTTGCCTAAGTTTTCCAAAGGAAAGCACAATGCCTGGGTGGAGAAAAACAGGGAATAGCAGGAGCTGCCCCGGCTGCAGCCTCAGGTGAAAGCGAGCTCATGGAACGTGGGAACTCACCCGAGTAATGAGACAAAAAAATCCATCCGATGCTCCCGGGATTTGGGAATTAGCACTGCCTTGGAGGGAGCCAGGGATGAGATGGGAACAAAGTGCTCAGAAAATGCTCAATATCCACATTTTCTTTCCCCAAATCTACGCTGTGAAAATCCCTTCCCCTCCTTTTAAGTCCTAGGGCTGGAAAAGTCTGACTCTGGCAGCAAAGATGGGGCTTAAGGAAATGCATTGAAGTCTACACGGCAATTAATGATGAACCCGATTTTAATTAATTACAACAATTGATTTAGTCAATTAATGTAATGAATTAACGCTTAATTAATTATGAAAAAGTAACAATTAACCTGAATTATGCACCAAACCCAGGGGAAAGTCGTGGCACCCTGTGCAAACACAGGGCCCTTCCTCCTGCACTGTCCAGGAACACCTTTCCCTTGTCCAATTCCCGTGTTTCCAGTCATCCCAAACTGTCACAAACCCCACAGAGACCCACCCTGCTGGGTTTTTATAGTCTGTGGCAGTTGGGATAAACTTAACAAGCTGACACTGGGATGATTCCCTACATTTGGAAAGCCCCTGAAACTTTTTCTCTGTAAGATCATCCCCCCCTCTTTTCTGTTGGTGTCTCACCCAAATTTTAGCTGGAAATCCCTGGAAGATCAGAGTGATTTTTAACCCAACACTGGTGGTTCTGCTGGGTGTGAAGATGGGCATGAAACCCATGGAACTTGGAATGAGGGAGAGATGGAAAGAAGGTCCAATGTAAGAAACAAAGGGAAGGGGGAAGATGAGGACACAAGGGACACCCAAGGGGGTGTTTTAGTTGGTCACAGCAAGAACAAACTTTTTTTCTGCATGATCTGAGCTATAAATCACTGTTTAAATAACAATTAAAAGCCATTTTTAAAAGGATATTTCAATCCTTAAACACCAGGAGTAAATATTAAATATTATTATTATCAATATTGAATAACGAATGAATTAATGTTAAATAATCTTAATACTGATATTAAACCTCATAAAGGCTGATGCTCTCGAGGGGCAGGAAGGGATCCCTGGCTTTCCAAACTCCCTCTCAGGGAAGGGTGAACTCCCATCTTAGCCCCAGAGTGTGTTAGCAGTTTAATTTTAAAGGAATTATAGAGCTATTAAACCACTTTGTCCCGCAGGTTTTAACGATGGCAAAACAGAAAAATTCATATAAATTGATGATTTATTGCCACAAATTAACAAAGAGGTGATCAGATGGAAGATCCTCATCAGAATTATTTACCACATGGTGTAAAAAGTAAAAAAAAATCTACTAGTAGAGTATTAAATAGCACAGTAACAGAGTGGACTGTAACAAAACAATTCTGTTAAAGCAACTGTAGGGAAGGCAGCAAGAGAAACAATCCTTAAGCAGAGATTGATATGACTCATTAAGTAGAGGTTGATGTAACTCATTAAGTAGATGTTGATATAACTCATTAAGTAGAGATTGCTGTGCCTCCATCTCTTGTCCCCAGTCCCTCTCCAGCTCTCCTGGAGCCCCTTTAGGCCCTACCAGGGGCTCTCAGCTCTCCCTGGAGCCTTCTCTTCTCCAGGGGAACCCCCCCAGCTCTCCCAGCCTTTCACCCCTTTTCCCTTCTCCTTTACTTTCTCCTGTGCTCTGCCCTCCCAGGGGAGCTGGTGCCTCATTTCCCTCTGGATGCAGCTTGGAATGAAGATTTTTAGCTCTTTCTTGCTCCCCCCTCACACCAAATTAGTATTTTCATCTTCCCGGCACCACCACCAAGTGACTCTTGTTTTTCCTTCTCCTTCTTGAAGAAAAGAATCAATTAGAAATTTAAATACCATCAATCCCTCCCTTTTGCCCCTTCCCCTCATCCTGCTCTCCCTTCTAATCCTGCTCTCCCTTTCCCCATCCTGCTCTCCCTTCCCCTCCTCCTGCTCTCCCTTTCCCTCCTCCTGCTCTCCCTTCTCTCCATCCCGCTCTCCCTTTCCCCTCCTCCTGCTCTCCCTTCCCCTCATCCTGCTCTCCATCCCCTCCTCCTGCTCTCCCTTCTCTCCATCCCGCTCTCCCTTTCCCCTCCTCCTGCTCTCCCTTCCCCTCATCCTGCTCTCCTTCCCCTCATCCTGCTCTCCCTTCCCCCTCATCCCGAATCCAGGAGCATAAATCACTTTCTGTGGTCTGCAGCTCAGCTGGAAAAACCAACAAAACGGGTCTATAATGTCACCAGCATCTAATTTGGTGGATTTATGGGCTCTGGCCTTAAGCACTTGCTGCTTTACAGCCTGTGAGTTCACTCCTGCGGGAGCTCCCTCCGGACTCCAGCTCTTTATCCCAAACTCCTGCTGTCCGCAGTCTCCGGAGCTTTCCAAAGGGCACATCCCCACCCCTTGGAAAACGGGATCTCTCCTTCCTGCCACTGCCTGATGTGCCCAAAAGAGGGTCACAACACATTCCTGCAGCCAGGAAAGGCTTGGCATTGGGATGTGCTGGTGGCAGTAGGAAAATCCAGGAATTAAGTGAGGCTGACCTGGTGAGGTTCAGGTGCTGAGCAGGAGGCACTTGGCTGCCCCTCTCTTTGGGTCCCTCACCCACAACCTCATGCTTCAGTGTTTTAATCTTGATTTTGGTCTGTTTGGGTGCCTAGAATTGTCAGAGGGAGGGGAATGCCCCAGCAGCAGCGAGCTGTCACTCCCTGGGACACGGTTGGACCCGGGCAGAGGAAGAACAAGGTTTTACTTCGCCAGCTGGTGGCAAACTCCCCTCAGCTGGAACCCTGCTGGCTCCAGAGGCCTTGTGACCACCTTCCAGGAGCAACCTGTCCCCTGGAACACCCAGTTCCAGCCAGCATTAGCTCTGACAGTCCATTAACACCCTGGCACTTGCCCCGGAGGAACGAGATTAAAGCTCCTTTGAGCCAGATGTTGTTCCAGGACGGGCCTACTTTTAGTCCCCAGTTCTGTTGTCAAACACGGACTGTGGAAGGAGGGGTTTAATTTGGATCTCAGGACAAGGTTCTTCCCCCAGAGGGTGGTTGGGACAGCAGCCCCACTCCTGGGATAACAACCCTGCTCCTG